GGCCAAAGTCAGGGTCCTTGAACACAACACGAGCCTAACGTGTCATCACGTGGTATATGTCTCGTCTGACAGGAGTGTAGTTCTAACGGAGAGCACCAGAACGCGGCTCCGGGCCGGGACTTCACAAATTGCAATACCCATAAGGAGCTGTACACATGCCGCAGTTTTTGCGTGGCTGTGCCTTTAGTTGAAAGCCCAGTGGCGATCTGTTGATCTGTCATACTGATTATACAGTCAATAACGTTGTTGTTATTAGCATCTGGTTAGCTAGCTATGCTAACGAATATAAGAAGCTTTTTCTCCAACCAGTGAGGTAAAGGCATATCTTTATATGATCATTATAGTTATAGAAAAATAAGAGAATAAAGTAAACAGGTATACAATACTAATATGACAGTAAAAAAAGTTGTTATTAATAAACAAGAATACAGTTTAAAAGGGAAGTGATTTGTAAAATATCCATAAAGAAAAAAATCTGCTTACAGTTCTGTTTCATATGGGTGTTGAGAGATGTATCCATAGATCTCTTCATGTTGCTCTCAAAGTGCACCAGATTGATGCTTTTAACTTCAACATTTAAAAAAATCTCCCAGGTGGTGCATGCCCCCAAACCCCCCGAGATGAGGTTAGATCTGACGTAGAGCGAGGGATCATTGTCCATAAGTTAATCGATCGCAGATGGCGTCATGATCACGGACGAATAAAAATAATAAAATAATAAAAAAAGCCTAAATGGGTCGTGAAATATACTTGGGCGGCCCTTAATATACCTGGGCGACCCGCCCAAGTATAGTCTATGTGTGGGAAACCCTGATGGATGACGCTCATGAGACACTGTGTTTTACATACGATAGCTATGTTCCTACAATTAACATGATGACACAGCCCCTAAGGAGATAGGCATATGACTGTCATGTTTATTGCTTACGCAGGCCTTAGCTAATCTGAACTAATGCCAGAATACTGCTTTGAAGCGGTATTCTTGGATCTTGTGACTGTAACACCCTCTCTTGTATATAAGGCATGTCAAGGACACTATTCGGGGAACCATTTGTACCATGCAACCTCTGTATGTGATGACTACTTCCATTCTTGCAAGGATAATAAATACATGTATCCTGATATTGAAGATCAAGCCGGTGACAAGTGATATTTTCTTAACAGTATTACTCCAGTATTATAGAACTGGACGCACTGGGTCAGTAGTGGCTTGACCAAAAATGTGTGCCCCAATACCTCCTGACAGGATAATCCAGCCAAATATTGACCACAATTGAACTATCATCTACATGTGGTCATCATCAGGGCATGTACTGCGTAGTTAGTAACTTGGGTTATTTTGCATTTCTAAGAAGGATTTATTTTTTCTCCGATCTATCTAAAGGTTGTCTCACTTCCCCCTGTACTTAATGCTGCATTTGAAGAAGTCTTTCACTTTATTCTACCACTACTGTATGGGATCTGCTTTATCCCCATAAAGCAGCATTTAAATAAAGGGTGATGTGAAGATATTTTTTTCACTTCGGTATCCGAAATGTCAGTACTGTTTACAGTATTTGCTCTCCTTGCTGTCAATGTGGCACAGGACTTGTGAGTGGAAACCTGAAAGAGGAAGTGATTATTTCAAGTTGAAGAACCACTGCTCTAATTCCTGTACAGAATTTGCATATGGGGATCCCTACAGCAGAGTGTATGTCATGTTTGTCTAACTATTTCCATCATTTGTTTGTTTTCAGGGTTTTCCTTGTGGTTTTGTGGGTCTTGGTTTCTGAAATGTGCTTGGGATTATTTATGAATGTGTGACAGTTACGGAACACTATAGGCAGAACATTATTGTATTGACATGTAGAATAACGGACAAACAAAACCTCACAGAAATACACAATAAATAAATAGTTTTTTTAATAAATTTAAAAAAAGTAAAAAACGAAGTAGCTCGGACACTGGGTGCAGTTTATGCATATTAATGTCACATGCTTCATATCTCCATAAAATGTCCTGCACATCATCGTAAATTAGAATAGGCACATTTTACTCCTTTGTTTAACACGAGGTCACAGCACTTTAAAGTGGCTTCCAAGTAATACATTAATGTCTAAAACTTAAGTGGTAGTGGTAAAAAAGAAAAGAAAAATACATTACATGTCGGTTACCAACATAAAAGTGTCATTTTTTAGCAGAGGTGACAGCCACGGAGAGATCGCAAAATGTCAAGAAGTACGTATCTGTCAAACTGTTTCTCTGCGTTGCTCCCCACACCAGTTTCACTTCCGGGATACAGCCTTTTCAGTCAGTCGTAAATACCAAGTAAGGCAGGGTTGGATAAGGTCTTCGTTGGTATGTTTTCTACCCCTAGAAGCTCCTGAAACTTCAACTGACAGCTATCAGCGTGCAGCTGTGTGGTCTAACCTCAATTTCCTGCCTATGTTAAAAAACAACCTGTTGCTTGCTTTGTTTTCTCCTTACAGTTTTCCCCCCTTTGTATTCTCAGGCAATTCCTCTCCCCATAAAACAACATGCCTTTTCTTATGAATAAAAAGTGTGTCATGGAAGAAAAGGGAGTGCATTGCTGCAGCTTAGCACTGGGACTTGTTAGGTCAGCATGATTTTATAACGTTGTTGCATTCCACTGCGTATCACTCAGTCGTCAGCTGTACGTCACAGAGGGAGAGAGACAAATTGTTCATATTGAAGTCCTGTTCTTCCTCCACTAAGGAAAGCGATGACAGCGTTGTTAGCAAAGGGAACGTATTCTCCAGTTGTATAAAAGTTGTTTCTAAATCATCCACTATAACAGTGTCCATTTGTGTTTGTTTGTGATATCTTGAAAATGTAAGCTGCCCTTTGTTAGAGTCCACAAAATTACAACTGTTGCTGACTTGTCCATTTTCAATACACACAGCTCTGTATTGTTTTATGACTTTGGCTCCATCATGTCCTTGTGTATGGCACCAAGTGCACTGCCCTGTTCCTGAGCAGATACACGATTGAGGCCCAGCCCTGTAACCTGTCACCACTTCAGCCAAAACTGAGTCAGGAAGCATCTGTTTAAACATCTCCTCCTCATCACAGACATTAATCTGCACAGCACAGGGGCTCTGACTGCGATAATTTCCCCCAGCCACCTTTAGAGACCCACTGTCCTGTCCATCTAGGTTTATGGAAGATATATCCACCTGGCAGCACAGCCCCACCCCACTATCCTCCCTCTTCCCAGTGTTGGAAGACCCCTCATCCTGCAGGGGGTAATCTGTCTGACAGCTAGTGGAGCTCTCAGATCCTCCCAAGCTGCCAAAGCCGCTGTCCTCTTGTCTCATTGGAGGACTTCCCTCGCTGTTTGTAGCAGAGTTGGTCTCCATGCTGACTCCGCTGTCCAGGCTGGTCCTCCTCTCCTCCTCTTCATCGTCCACTGTTACCGTAACATGTGTCATCGGATCGTTGACACAGGTTTTCACTTCTGTTCTGTTGCTGGACAGGAACCATCCTTTGTCTGTAACAACCTCCACAGCCCCTTCTTTAACAGAAAGTGGAAGCCAGCCTCTAACAGGGGATTTCTTTGGTGAGAAAGGAGAACACAGTGGTTGTTGTATTATTCGTTGTCAACTTGACCATTTCTGAACTGCTAATGTCAATGTGATGGTAAAACAAATTAACTTGACGGTAAATGCCTGCGTAACAGTTATTCATTCAAGTTTTCAATAATCAAATCTACTTACCAATACAGCAGGTGTTTTCTCTTGACCTCTCAGGTAACACAAGAGGATGGCTACTATGATCGCAATGATGGCCAACACACCCAGAATCGATAGGGACGACACAGCCATTATAAAAAACTCTGGAAGGTAAAAACAGGAAGACGTTTTGGACAGAACCAAATGTAACGCATATTTCCCAAACTGTCAAACCTTTAAGAATTATTCAATGAGCAATGTTTTATCTAGCATGATTTATAAATCTACTATGGCAGTTGTGTGCCATACCTGTTTTTCAGCAAGAGAGATGTTTGTTTTGTTTGTTAGCACAATTACACATTTTAATTGACAATGTTTTATTCATTATTTCTATTTTAATTTCCTCACCAGAATCATTTTTTGAATGTTTTTTTTGTGTGTAAATGCTGTTCAATGTTGCTGTCTCTGGGCTCTGTTTCTCACCTTGCTCTGGGAGCTGCAGACACTGTTTTGGGGACACACTGCTGCTGGACATAGCTGCTGCTCCTTTGCCCTCCACCTTGATGCTAACACAGTACTCTCTCCCCCAGTGGAGTGAGCTGAAAGACTTGGTCCTCTGATCCTCGGCCATGTTATCTTCCAAGTATGCTGTGGTATTCTGTAGAGGAAAAAGCATCCCATTCAAATGTCAACTATTGAAAAATAGTTTCAATTTATTGACCTTACTAAGGCCAAATCCTTTTTTTTTATTGCATGTATATTGACATACATCATTGTTAATGTTTTACTGTTTGTATATTTCTCTTACATTATTTAACATATTTTACCTTTGTATCTTGTCCTCTCTCTTCCAGGTAGATGGTGTAGGTGACCCCGAAAAGAAAGAGTTCTTTCAGAATCGGTTTCTGGTGAACAGAAACTTTGAGAGTGCTAGAAGTCGCCCACAAAGTGAAGGAGGGTGGCTGCAATGCCCCTGTAGGAACAGAGAGTGGTAAGAAAACAACATTATAGTGTGTTCAAACTGCTTAAACAGCCCAAATGCTCGTTTTACTAAGGTATTATGATGTATCTACCAAACTGCCAACCATGCTCACCTTCATTTAAGAAGAATTTCTTCTTTTGTGTCCAGACAGACGATGAGATGTTATCTCCTGCAACCAGCTGAACTCTGACCTTATAGGGAGCGCGTTTTTCAATTATAAGGCTGCTTACATCACAGTTCGTCTTTTTGATCCCTGTGCAGCTGGCGACCATGGCCCATTCCCCACCCATGTACCTAAGGACAGAAATCATAATACGACCAAGGAGTAAATAAATGATTTCAATAATAGTCAATTTTTGCTTGTTAATTATTTAAGTAAAGGGAAATTAATACAACCGGTTTGAAGGTAAAGGAGTAAAGAATACAGTGTAATTTAAATAAAAAAATAGGACGTTTGTGATAAGAAAAGGTTAAACATACTTTGCCATTTCTACATTGTAGCGGGAGTCTGACGGAGCGTCCACAGGATGTTTCCAAAGTACATGAACCTCGCCTTCTGAAATCTTCACAATCACATTGTCAGGCTGAGGGAGGTCCAGTCCTGCAAAAATAAAGTAAATTATGATGTATGTTCAGTGATTATTATGACAAAACATTGATATTTCTCTAAAAGAGATTAATATTGTAAAATCATCAGCCTTGTCAGAGCAAATTCTGAAGTGTTATCTTTAGATAGAAGGCTGTGGTCAGGAAGAGAAAAGGAAGTATGATAAAAAAAAGCGCTCTTTTCTTGCAAATCGTTTATGGGATTACTGAAGATTTGACACAGTGGGTTTTCCGTAAAAGGAACAGAGATAGACCCATTTCCACTGTGAGACTTAAGTAAAATAGGAACATTTCTGATAAATGTTCTGTATATTTTTTGTTTCTCCCCTTGATGCCTTCATTATGGAAACCTTATTGCAAATAGGTTTTAAAACGTTTTCATTGGAACAGCCAAATATTTTATCAGTCTGTATTTCTCCTACGGTTTAACCATGACTGCTATAATTCTACAGTCATAAAAAAGTCAGCAAAATGTAAAACAATTAAAATATAAATCTAAATAAATAAACTGATAAGAACATTTGATTTAATATATGGTGTAATAAAAGTATTTAATTACCTGACACAAGATTTCGGTAGAAAATCAGGAAGATAAAAATGGTGTTATTGTATATATCCATATCCGGTATATGGAGAGATAATATCATTGAATCATAATCCACACTGGCTGCCAAAAAAAGTCCCTATTCCAATCATCAGTGAAGAAAATACAACTGGAGAAAAGTCTTCCCTCCACAACAAAGTGTAGCTGTTCAAATGAACATTAAAGTGTTGATAAATTAAGAAGCAGCAGCTCTTCTCTCGCTGATGTGCTGTCCGTTATAAGAAATGAAAAGATCACTAACAAAGGTCTCCACATATATCTTCCTCTCTTACTCAACTCCCCTCCCACTCGGCTGATGAGCTTCCTGTTGTGACTTCATCAGTGACGCTGAAGCTAATTTCATCGCTCTCGACTCTCCAACCAAACGTTTTCCTTCCTCTTTTGCCTTTTTCTTTTTCCCTTTGCACAATGCTGTGAAACCATGGTTTGAAGTTGAATTGCTAATGAGGGCTGTCAAAATAACACGACAAAAAATCCCTCTCTTGGACTGGAGCTTCGGGATTTCCCTTTTGAATTTTGTAATAGGCATTAGTTCTGGAGCCTTTTTAAAGATATCTTGATTTTGTTTGATATCCATAATGGAAAATATGCATCCTCAAAAGGAGCAGTAATTGTCTTCCTTTGCTTCTGTTCAGTTTTTGTGTGTACGTGCCTTTTTGATTAGAGCACATCTGTGTTTTTTCCTGATATAGTCTGTGACGTTAAATAGCAATGGTAGAGATGTCTGTGACAAGGATTCAAACTAACAGTGATTTAGGGGGATTTGAATAATTATGTTTAACAAACCAATCAAGCCTGAACAACAAGCAAAACATTTAAAGAATTGTGTTCATTTGTTGATAGATGATTAAAGCACCATTAAAATGTAATCTTAACTCAATTCATTATTAGTCTAGTTTGCAGGAAATTAGGCTGGAATTTTGAATTATTGGCTTCTATTTAGTGTTTGAAAATAAGTCTTATATGTATCTAAATGTTAGCTATTGGAAATTAAGAGAGCCACAACTTTTTTTAAAACTTGGGTGGAAGATCTGTATCTCTATCTATGGTCTTGACAAGCCACAGTGACCGTACAAATCCCTCTCCACACCTCATCCCTCAAACATATCACCTCAGTTTTATAACACTTTACAGGAAATGTCTGATAACAATGTTACTGTGGGTGGATATTAAAGCTGGTCACTGGTTAGAAATGATATTTTATTGCTTCATCCCTCTCCCCACGTCTGTTACTCCTCGGCGACCTTAACATCCACATGGACTCCACCACCTGCAAACACGCTTCTGAATTTTCCTCCCTTCTGGACAATTTCTCATTTACACAACATGTCACCTTCCCCACCCACGATAAAGGACACATCCTTGACCTTGTCTGCTCCATCAACCTCACAGTACTCGACCTCCACCCCTGCCCCTTTCCCCTCTCTGACCACAAACTCATACAGTTCACCACCGCCTCCCCCGTCCGCCGCCCCCCCCCATCCAGGAACATCACTTTCCGTAATTTACGCTCTGTCGATCCCCAGCACTTCTCCGACCTGCTATCCTCTACTCTCCCCCTGGACTCGAACCTCAGCTCACCCGATGATCAACTCAACCACCTTAATTCAACCCTACTCGCCTCCCTCAATAGCTTGGCCCCCCTCAAAAGGAAAAATGTCACTTTTAAAACCTCCTCACCCTGGTTCACCCCTGCACTCCGTAAACTGAACCAAACCGGCCGCCAGCTTGAAGGCCTAACCATGAAATCATCCCTCACAGTTCACCATGATTCCTACAAACTCCATCTCACTACCTACAGAGACGCCCTCAATGCCGCAAAATCTGCTTACCTCTTCACCATCTTCATCGACCCCTCCCGTAACCCCATGACCCTCTTCTCCACCGTCAACAAGCTCCTCAAACCCCGTGCTGACACCCTCTCTTCCTCCACTTCCACATGCAGTTCATTCCTCCAGTTTTTCTCTGACAAAATCACTGCCATTAATCACTCCCTATCTGCTGCATCTGACACACAAACATCTCCCCCAACATCCACCGCCACAATTCCTCCCTCCATCTCCCTTGACCTCCCGTGAGCCACACCATCTCCCGTGAGCCACATCATCCTGCTTACCCGACTCCGGGATATCGGTATCGAAGGTACTGCACTCAGGTGGCTCCAGTCCTACCTCTCCGACAGATCCCACTTCATCTCCCTCAACAATCACTCCTCTACCACAGCTTCAGTCACCCAAGGTGTTCCCCAAGGTTCAGTACTCGGCCCCCTCCTCTTCATCATCTACATCCTCCCCCTTGGTCAGATTCTCCGCCATCACAACCTGGACTTTCACTGCTATGCTGACGACACACAGATCTACCTCAGCAACAAATCCCCCCACAACCCCCCTCTCACACACATCGAATCCTGTCTGACTGCAATAAAATCCTGGATGCAACACAACTTCCTCAAACTCAACAGCAATAAAACTGAACTCCTCCTCATCGGCTCCAAATCCACCCTCAGCAAAACCCCCAACCTGACACTCNCCTGGCCCTCACAACCATCTCCTACTCCTCCAGTCACTTCCACCCCCCCGGTCTACACCTCCGAAATATCCACTCCTGTCCTCAAATTCACTTCGCCACACTCTGCCCCTTCCGTTTACCTCAAGAAACTCCTGGCCACTACAACTACGGTACTAAACCAACACCCAGTCCTCAGACCGCGGACGCCAAGACCTGTGCGACCTCAGACAACTCCCTACAACACGACACGCTTCCTCCTCCTCAACGTTATCAAGTTCCGCCCTCCCTCTACTTCCGTAACTTAACTCAAGCGAGTCGGACGCCCCGCCTCACTCTCTCCTGCCTCCAAACGCTTAACGCCTTCCACCTTTTTAAACTCCAGCCAAAAAATGTTGAACCGCCTACACCCAGCTCCTCTCCACACCAGCTTAAAGTGCCGGGTTCCACGCACGGACCACTCCCCCTTGTCCCCACGGTAGCTACCAACTCACAAGTCCACCCCCAAAACGACCTCCCACCTAAACCTCGGCTACTCCTCCTCAAGTCAAAAATACGACAACTCAAAACTCCTTCAACACAACGTAGGGTCCGAAAATAACGTCAGTCTGTCTAAGCTACCACACACTCTACCTCAGCCGGTTTGCTCTCAATCCCCAAGGCCAAACTCCGGAGCTTCGGGGACAGAGCCTTCTCTGTGGCAGCCCCGAAGCTCTGGAACTCCCTCCCCCAAGACCTCCGTGAGTCTGATTCCCTCACCCTGTTCCAGTCCCGTCTCAAAACCCACCTCTTCAACTCTGCTTATCCTTAAACCCGCCCCTCCCCCCTCTGAACCAACATCCTCCTGACTGCTTTTCTGTTTTTGTTTTTGTTTTTGTTTGTGTTTTTGTTCTTGTTTTGTTTGTCGACCTGACTCATAATGTAAAGCGTCTTTGGGTCTAGAAAAGCGCTATATAAATCCCATTTATTATTATTATTATTATTATATGCCTTAGAACAGGGGTCTCCAACACGTCGATCACGAGCTACCGGTAGCTCTCAAGCCCTCAATAAGTAGCTCGCCAAGCATTACATTACATTACATGTTACTTGTTAGACGCTTTTATCCAAAGCAACTTACATACTCAATACTGTGGGCAATCCCCACAGGAGCAATTTGGGGTGAAGTGTCTTGCCCAGGGACACAACGACATGCTGACTGCAGTGGGGTTTGAACCTGTGCTCCCCTGATCCGAACACCAACGCACTAGTCCACTGCGCCACACGCATCCCAAGCAAATCCAAAATGTAAAAAATACACACAAAAAAAGGGAAATGTAATTAAAATAATCTACCCTATGCATAAACGAAACCTTAATCTTAGCGAACTCTATCTACTTACTACAACTCTATGTCTATCCAACACCCCTCCTCCCCCCACCCCCACAATGAATATCGACCAATCACGTTCTTGCAACAGTTTAAAAGGGGAGTGATTAGTAAAATATGCATAAATAAAAAGAAAGAATGCTAACTAGGTAACATAAGATAAGAATAAACAAGTTTAAATTATTTGTTATTGGTTGTGAAAATTATTGATTATTATTGAAAAGTATACAGCTCCCTTTCATATGAGTGTTGAGAGCTGTATCCATAAATTCATTTTGTGCTCAAAGTGCCGCAGATTGATGAATTTCACTTCAACAAATATTAAAAATATTAAAAAAATATTAAAACAAATATTTCCCGGGGTGCAGGCCCCCGGACCCCCCTAGAGGATGTGAGGTCCACCCCAAAATAAAGCAGGTTAAAATAATTAAATTACATACATTTTCTTTTAGTAAACACTGAAAACAGGTCCCACAGACCCAAACAGCACACAAAGTATAATATTAAAATGTGCTAAATATCTACGCTGCAAAAAACAAAACAAAAAGAGAAGTAAAAGTAGCTCACTACTTGTTTTATTTTTTGAAAGTAGCTCTCGTCCTAAAAAAGGTTGGAGGGCCCTGCCTTTGAACCATTCTCTGAAAATGTTCCTTATTTTATTAATGGTCAGTACGTTCATTACATAGCATATTCATAAAGTGCAAAAATGTAAACGAGGCCTGGAGTTTTCACACACATCGGGAATTTCCACCTGCATACAACGGTTACATTTTTTTAAAATAACACAATGGATTTGTATTACAAAGCCAAAAAAGGGTTTATAGTTAAATCAAACAAACTATCAAATGTTCTGCTTACATTACCACAGTGCCAGCCTTCAGCCAGCTTTTTCTCATGACCTTGTTTGGTTACTTAACACAATGTACACAACCTCTTATCGGACATCTGTCTTGTCATTAAAAGACCAAACTCTTCAACTCAACGCTTTTTAAATGCTTTTAAAAGTCGCATGAATACCAGTATTGTTCCCCGAATAAGCGTGTAACAGCAGGTCAGGAGGAGGTGTCAGTCATTAGATGATGATTTGTTTTAGTTTGATTGAACTCTTATAGATGTTTCAGTACTTATTATTCAAAACTATACTTTCAATTCTGAGAAAGGACTTTTCTTTTTAGTAAATCTAAAGATATCACCACAGTTTCCCTCTCTGTTTCTCATCTGCTTTTCCCATGTGACTGATCGAGTTTTAGTTCCTGGTTTATGAAAACATGCCAAACCATGAACCTGTGGTGCTGACGCCTTTTGGTTTCTGTCTTGCAGAAAGACCGAGAACAGCTGAGTCAATTTGTGATGTGGGACGCCACTTAAATGTCACACATCATCTGCTGTTGTTCAGAAGGGGGACTTTCTCACAGGTCACTTTTGTTACATGAGAGTAGCCCAGTGGCTGCTCACACACACATAGGAAGATTGAATATATCACCCTCTAGTTGTGTTTCAAGGCAAACACACCCTCTCAGGGAATACACAGTAGGGCTTCTTTCAAACTGAGATACTGAATCATTTCTGTATATTATTAGGGATAAACTTATGACCCACACAAAGACTCAGAGTATGACTGATCATCAAAGGTCTTCGCAATTCAGATCTGTTCCAAAAGTGTCTTAAACCAGGTTCAGATCTAGGTCATTGTGGTCATGTGTTGTGTGGCTCAGACCACCAGGCCACCACAATGTCTTATATTTATAATGTTGTGTTTAGTATATGACAGTCAAGAAGAGCAAGCGAATAGAACCCATTCAATTGAGGGAAAGATCTCAATATCACATCGCAAACCACAAATTAGATTGGTCCAACGTATTATGTCAGAGTGAAGGATGCAGCAAAAGCATACACAAATATAACTATTAGATGAAGTTACCTTAGAAAGAGGAACTGTTGGTATTTTTGGATATTCAAACCTTGACAAGTACTTGTGAACCAGAACCATTATGCAAATAAGTAAGGAACATCGAAACTGGAGAGACCTTAGTGACCTAATGTGATCATTAGGAAGGTGAATGTAAGTGAACACAGATTTGGAAGACGACATCAGATGAAGGAAGCTGCAAACGTTTTCAGAAGCACCCACAAGATCTGTGTACAGAGAGGGATAGCTGTGGGAACATTTAAGACGTTGTATAGAAGCCTGACATTCACAAATAAAGGTTAATCAAAACACTCAAACTTTTCCGCCATTTGAGTGTCGCAATATTTACACTCTCTTTAATAATTACCTCTGTTTCTAGGATTTAGTAAAGGGCATTTCCTCATACTCCCTATGATTATAAGGTGTGACATTCACAGATAGGGCAGCCTGCATTAAACAGAAATAATTTTGAATGTATTGGATGTGAAAACAATTTAAGCTCCTGTCATTTTCTGTGCAGATGAAAACATTTGGGTTCAGGGCCCTGACAGCTCAGCTGGTGTCATTTGAGCCACAATGGAGCTTGATACTGCGAAACAAGCTCTGACATTCTCTAGCTGCCACGAAACTGGTCGGGCAGGTGGGAAACTGAAGCACTCGGCACGCCCGTCTCTGTTCGGAGAAGAATGGAGGACTAAGAGAAGGATGGACGCTGGAAGTGGGAGGTGTCAGGCTCTGAGAGGGGAGGCAGACCTACCTTTTGCCAGATGGAGGTCAGAGACAAACACAGTAAAGGAGAAGAAAAGAAGAAAGCTGTGGTGTTAATGTGGCACCAGCATGCACTAATCTCTGCTCTGTGACTGAGTAAACACCTGGATGAGAAAAAGCTCCACCCACCTGCGCTCACCTCCACTCTCCACTCTTTAATTTTTCTAAGACCAATGGCAAAGCATGACCCGGTAAGTTATTTTCTTGTCTTTTTTCTTATAATTGAAAATGTCTTCCTCTTGATAAACAGTGTCTTGGCTTTTCCTCAAGATGTTAACTGTCCTCCAGTCAATAGTCAAACTTCCTTCTTGATCAATACTCACCTATCACTCAGACTCTGAATGGCGGCTCTTGTTCTGTTTATCTGCTTCTCTGTCTGTCCTGTTTGAGTTTCAGAGTGTCTGTAAACATTTGCAGCCTTCATAACTTTAAGGGTGCTTTGCATTGAGTGATAGACTGACTGATTATAGGTTTTATTTGTTTCTGTGTGAATGGAGTTTGAATATTGCTTTAACTAAAATATTGGTTTTACCTAAACCAACCTAAACCAACAGTGAAAAATGGTTTCTATCAATAGTTTCCATTGTGCACGTTTATAGCAGCTTGAAGCTCTGAAGAATATAACACTTTTCATGAGCAAAGAAAAAAATATCATTATAGTTATTTTTACAATTTTTGAAAATTAATGTTTCCAAATCAGAAATTGGTTTTATCAATGTGTCTCTACATTTGGGGGTATGTGGTTCTCATCGGATATCTATCTTTACAATTGCGACATAATTTTAAAACTGTGTTTGTGGCACGTTTGCTTATGCAAATCATGAGTCTTAAGATAAAAGAGGAAGTATGTTGTTAAGTTGTCAGTCAAATGTAACCTTTTTTGTTATAAAACACTTTACTTATGATGAGGCCACAATGTATTGGATATGCCGTTAGTTTTGGGTTAGGTTTTGGTTGCAGTCAAGCTGAGTTTACTACCTGATGTTAAGAAATGCAGAGGCCAGACTTGTATCCGCCTTGACTCTTTTCAGACCCGATTATAGTACACATTAGTTTCCAGTGACATTTTGGGTGGTTTTGTAACTTTCTTTTGACACAGTTATTGGTCCGGGTACAGTTTTCACCTTTCAAATGTCATGTGAACTTCCTAATATTTTAATGTTTTTAGTACCCTTTGGATGATAATGGCCGACAGGCAAACTATGCAAGATGACCTGTGTGTACTCTGCTGGGAAATGTGAAAAACCTGCTCGTCTACTTTTTCAGATCTGCAATTTTCAGTTCAGGCATATTTTGACAATTGATCAGCATGCAATAGAAACATTCTTATGGAACACCTATTGCAGCGAGTCAGCCCATAGTTTGCGCCAACTGAATACCCTTTTATGCAAAGGACCACCCTGCACTCTGCCTTAAATTAGCTTTCTCTATTGGTGGATTTTGCAAGTCAAATCGAAACAAATTTTCCTATGATGAAATCGAGGTAATAGACACTGTTCATGTTAAACCTTTGCTATGCTGTGGACCCTCTGATTAACCCATACCCAAGAGTTGATAAAAAAATTGATTAAAAAAACTTAAATCAGACCTTTTGTACGTAACCTTTTTCTAGTTTTCTTTAGTCTTCTCAAACTCTGTTGTATGTCATCATAATCCGTAAATGCATGGGTGACACTGCAAACAGGTATTCAGGTCACATAGAGACAGAGTGCAACATATCATACTCTGAAAATGTCAGCATGACTAAGGATAATTTTTTCAACCTACTGTACCTCTACCACTGGTGCAGGTGATAACTTAAATAATGATGGCAACAGTAACCCTTTTTGATTCAACCACATTCCACTACTATTACAGAAAGAGTGAACAATGGCCTGAAACTGACATTTGGAAGAAAATCTTGCTGCACACATATGATAACTGAGTTTCAGGATCCAAGTTTTCTGTACGTCTCATTGCCTGAATACAATGTTGTCTTCTTTACCCTGTTAATAGTGAATCCCACCCAGAGAAACTATTTAGGCATTTTATTTTATTTGCAGCAACTATAAAGTTTTTAGCCATTGCTCTGGGACTTAAAGTGTTTCTTTGTTTTGCTCAAGCAGGTTTAGTCACATATTCTGCATCGGTAACTTTCCTTTCCCTGCTTTAGCCTCCCTAGCTGCATTCCACATACCACAAAACCGCATAGCAATATAAGCATGTTGTTGTATAAGCTCAATTGTATTGATAATAATAAGATAACTTTTTAGTAGTTAAAAGTTGTTGGGAAAGAAGCTTATTTTCTTTCTTGCAAAAGGTAGATGAAAAGAACAAAACCACTTAGAAGTCTATGAAGTAAATATGAAGCGAGTGCCAGCAGCAGGTTGTGTCAACTTATCACAAAGACTGGAAATAGGGGGACACAGCGAGCCTTGTTCTGTAAAAGGAAAACAAGTCCAACACCTCTAACACTCACTAATATCTTGTTTGTTATGTTGCATATATTCAGAAATGTACTGTGCTTAGCCAAGATATAGTAAACAGCTTAACCCCCCGTAATACCACAACATGCTGATTTTACTATCATATTTTTCCTCGGATAAAACAAATGAGATAAAGTGTGTAAATCAGTGAGCTTTAGAAGAAACTTTAAGGAAGTAATGTTTGCTGCTGACAGAGCTAAGCTTACTGGCAGCTCACTCTGGCTGTTAGGATAAAAACACAAAAGTGATATCAACCTTTCCATCTAACACTCAGCAAGACATTAATAACCGTGTATTTCCGGAAAAGTAGAATGTTTAGTCAACGTTATATATCCACATAAAGTAAAATGATTGGAAGCTCAATCATCATGGCATCAGGAAGAAAGAAGAGAAGAGAGTTTGAACCATGAAAGCAGAATAAAAAACAAAAAATTGCAAGTCATTGTGTGACAAAGACAAATATATAAGGTCTTTAAACGCATTGTCAAACAAAAGATAGAGTTTGACCAACCCATACATCTGTTTACCCTGACTCATTCATAGTGAGCTCAAGTGGAGCTGGGGGAAAACACTGTTGCCACAAAACCTCAGTTTTAGTCGTCCTCATTCTCCCCCTAAACCAGTGGTTCTCAAACTTTTTCTGTCAGGCGAAAAAAAAAAGTCAGGCCCCCCCAACACAAATAGTCACGTAATGGGCCAAGTTATCATTTATTAAAATCCATCAATATGAACGTGAACATTCCTTTCAAAAAAATAAAAAAATCACTTTGCTAGAACAGTGATAATAAAACAACGCTCCTTAAGTCTGTGTGCTCCAAAAATAAATACATAATACAATTTTGCAATCCCTTTGCTAGAACAATAAATGAGAATACTTTGCCACTTTGCAATCTGTGCAAAAAAATGTAAAGAAAGAAAATGCTGATATTTAGCTAAAAACTGTGTCTTATCACAGCATTATTGGCTGCAATGAGCCTGTTTGGCACAGCACATTTCTTCAAAACAGGGTTGCAGGCTCAGTGGCGGTGCCAGATATTTATTTTGGGGGTGCTGTGGGGTAGCTTGACGTTTCATAGAGGGTGCTCAAACATTTAGGGTTTCCCATGTAACGCTCGCTACAGTGGAATTTTCGACTGCAACAATCCCCACGCAAATACGCAGTGTACCCACGACTGTTATAATGAAGGCTCGATAATCAGCTCCCGGCATATGGGTGTAAGCAGGAGTAAAGTGCCATTTTTATAGATGGTGTGTGGACCTAACATCCTTTTTTTTTTTAAATATTGAAGTTAAAAGCATCAACCTGGTGCACTTTGAGAGCAAAATGAAGAGATCTATGGATACATTATGAAACAGAACTGTAAACAGATTTTCTTTTTCTTTATGGATATTTTATAAATCACTCTCCTTTTAAACTTTATTCTTGTTTTACTGTCATATAGTATTTCATACCTGTTTTTCATTTATTCTCTTGTTTTTTATAACTATAATGATCGTATAAACGTGTGCCTCGGAAATAATTGTTTACATTAATCGTGACCAAACCGTTTGAGACCCACTGAGATAACTTAGACTAAAGTTAACTATCTAAACACTCAGAGAGTCCTTTAGCTCACTGAGTCTCTCAGTCTGACAGGAGAGGACTCTCCTCCACCTTGTTGTGAAAAAAGCTCCTTATATCCGTTAGCGTAGCTCGCTAGCACCAGAAGCTAACAACAACGATCTCCGGTACCGGTGCGCTCTCTCTTTTGCGCACGCACACACATAGCCGAGCTTCAATTAAACACAGAGACCCAGACGTACTTGTACTGTACTGTAGCATATTATTGTTGAATCAATAATTTTTTTATTTCTTTTAAAAAAAAAATGTTGTCATAACTATTTTTCCTCCTGGTCTCTCGCGCCCCCCCTGGCATGCCTCTGCGCACCCCAGGGGGGCGCGCCCCCCACTTTGAGAAACATTGCCCTACACTCTAATTTGTGTTTGTTATCCAACCTGTCCCAAACACTCAATAGCTGATTAAATCCTTTGTCAGAAGTACTTCATATCGCTACTGGAAGAGTGAATCAAAAAGAGGCAGAGGAGATGATGATGCATGGCTAGATAAACAAGGAAATGAACTGTTAAAACCTGATCTTTCACAAACTGTTGCTAGGATACATCACCTTTTATCTCTACAGGAAAGCATGTTTCCCAGGCGAGGATTTACAGTAAACATAGGCTTGATAATCGCAAAGAGGACAATGGGTTACGTGCTTAATCTTGGCAACCATCCAAATCATTTCCTTTTCTAGCCTTTTTCTATTGTATGTCTCATTCCTTGTATAGTAAAACATATTAAACATAGCAAAGTGTCTTGTTTCCAACGGTGATAGATTTCACTTTGTATGTATAACAGCCTTTCCAACACTCATGATGCCTTGCTAGTGGATTTTTTACCTGTTTATTCTTTTCTATTTTTCTCCCAGAACGACCTCCCTCCTCCTTACTACTCTCTTGACTTGCACACCCAGCCCCCCCTCAAGCCCTATGAGGAGGTGGTTTATGGTGTGGGTCCAGGCCTGACACCCCCCAGCCATCCACGTTACATCCCCCAGTATCCACCGCCCGTGGTGGTTTCGCCAGTCACACAGTCTAGCATACGTGAGTGATATCCGCAGCTCACATATTTTCCTGAGAAAACAATGCATGCAGGTGTGGGAGCAACATAAATGGAGACAAGGAGTGTTAATGTGTGTTTGTGTCCCTGTGTCCAGCCCCCAGCAGTAAGAGGAGGAGATGCTGCCACAGTAATGCACAGTGCTGCGGAGGGTCGGGGGGAACCTTACTGCTGCTCGGCCTGCTTGCACTGGCCATCTGGCTTGGAGGTACACTGATTCATTTTAGACCATTAGATATTGTCATTAATATTCATCTGCTGTTCTAATTTGTTAAAGTATATGTTAGTCAATTGTTCTTGTGCCCCTGTGTTCCTGAAGAGAGTAGATGTGATTTAATTTTTTGTAAATAAGGCTTACTTTTAAAAAGACTATTGCAGGTCTAAATGCCACTAAAAAGAACAAGATTATGGTTGCTAGGTTCTGAAATAGATTGGTTACGGTTTCATTCTCTAGCATCACTTAACTTTTTAATCATACAGCCCTTTTAAAAAGTTAAACTTTATTGCCATTCACAAAACATTGGTTGTTAAAATCTAGTGTTTTTCTAGGGTTGGGGTTGTAGTATTTATGGGATTTGGATCACCATGTAGTGAATGCATGAGTTTAAAGCAGGTATATTATTTATATAGAAATACTTTTGAATAGTTGCTGATATTCTTTAGGCGAGGTACCCAAAGGTGTTGTACTCCTTTAAGTTGCATTTTACTGTTCTAATTTCATGTCAACGTGTAGTTTTAGTTGATTCTAGCAATAATGACACACTCTATCTCTACTGACCACAACTCCTTATTACCCAAACAACAGTTCGTTATGGCACCCGGTTGGCAACAACAGCAATCCTCCACGATGACTACAATGATCACGATGATCACGATGATTACGACGATACAATTCCGCAAAGATATGACACCTGCTCCAACAGTACTGTTAAATGTGATGGGATAATAGACTGCAAACTGGGATCTGACGAAACAAACTGTGGTGAGTAGGCACTATTCAAAGAAACTGCACACAACAGCATGCTTGCATTTGTCATTTCTTGCTGAATGAAGCTAATTTCTTTCCCATTAGATTACTGGTTTCACTGTACAGTAATTGTCTGTAGTTGCAACAGCAGCAGCACACGGGCGAAAGACTCCACATTATAGTCACATTGAGTTAAGTATAACCAAATGATGAGACCCCATCTAAGTTGTCCTATTGCTTTTTTTCTTCCCCAGTGAGATTTGACAAGAGCAACGGTCTGCAGGTCAAGACATCTCAGGATGGCCGCTTCCTTCCAGTGTGCCACAAAGACTGGAACAACAACTATGCTGACGAGACCTGTGCTCAGCTAGGACTCAGAAAGTAAATCATCATCCCCTGACTTCATTCATTATTTCGTGATTCCTGACCTAATGTGTGCTGAATAGGGTTGGAGCGGTAGCAACAGCACTCCAACGTGAAAGAAATGTGTTACCATTCCTCGTCATCATTCGAAGGGTTTCTGAAGAAGTCATTTAGCATCATTTTGCCAGACCCAATTTCAACAGCAGTGCGGGAACATGTGGGTTTTTATCTCACCTGTAATTGAGATCCATCTCATTTCTCCTCACATGCTGCTATACATTTAGGGTTGAATTGATTCTCCACAAGGTCTCCCCGGGGTATGAGTTTCCAGACTCAATCAGGCATTGCTTGGACAAAATGATCTCTGTATGTGCAAGTTTATCTCTACAGCTTTCTGAACTGCCTCTCTCTATCTTTAGGTCATATGTTACCGGAAAAATAAAATCCCAGGGTGCCAACGTTTTATCATTGACAAGCAGAAAATCTCCGCTTCTCCAGAGTCGGGTTAAAGTCAGGTAAACAATCTAGTCCTTATCCCACCTGTTTCATACACAGCTCAGTTCTAACCTGTAATCTTTTTATTATAAAATATATTTAATCATTTCACATTTTAGAATCATTTGTGAAAGTAGTTATCCCACAGACTTATTTTCTGCTTTTATTTGATTATAATACTACAATAGAAAGCTGTGTTTGTGCATGCATTTATACCTGACATGTTTTTCTCACTGTGGCATTACGCAGTTCATTGTGTCCAAACCAGGAAGCCGTCTCCCTGCAGTGTGTGGGTAAGGAGCCTCCATCTGTTCCTAAAGCCATGTGTCACGCACAGCCCTTGTCTTTTTCTGTCTCTTTCTTACACATACACTCATAAACACACACGCAATGTACGACTGCACATTAAGCCATTTGAGTATTTGATCAATATCTCTTGACATTCTGACAATACCTTCTTTTTTTTCAAGTTCTTGCCCTCTTTCAATCTATAACCTTAATTAAACTCGAGCCTTCAGAGTTGGGATGACATGGCTGAATTTAAACAACTAGGGTACCAACCATGATATGCAAAACACAATGTTTAACATGCAGGGTAGTTGGGACATTCAACCACAGTCCTGGAGTCTGCTTCTACACGTACACAGCCTTTTCCTGGCACTGCAACACATATCCACCACACCCTTTCAATCCTGTTTACTTAGGCCATCTGGTTCTTTGCTAGTTCATTTGCTGGCCTACTGCTAACCTTAAACTATGCTTACACTTTATACAACTGCTGCTGCTGTTCAAGCACTGTTGCATTTCATAATCCCCAGCGTCCACCTGTAGTCCCTGAGTCTACCTTTCCTATCAGCACTCCCCACTTCCTACTGTGTTATGCAAATATCATCACAGAAAAAATTCTATATTTGCATCATATTCCATATTTATCTAAGTTGGCACACTGAAATAGGCAAGATCACAAAAATAATAAACGTATTAGTTTTGGGTGCAATGGATTGAATTTCACTGTATGATCAAAAAATTAGTAACCCATTTTGTTTTGAGAAGCAGTAGCAAAAAGCAACACAGTCCCTCTGTGAGGGCAAACAAAACAAAAAAGCAATAAAAAAAAGGAAGCAGTAACACAATATGATCATTATTTTTGCCACCTGATACCCGTGAATCTATCATATTGAATTATCTTTCAACACCTACTATAAAGGATCTGTTTAGCTGTTTCTTTGGACATGTGCAGTATTTTACATTTTTCTTTTATTCTCAGACTGCGGACGCCAGAAGACCACGTCCCGGATCATTGGGGGTAGCGCGGCTAAGGAGGGCCAGTGGCCCTGGCAGGTGTCCCTGCACTTCAGAGGATCCCACGTCTGCGGGGCCGTCCTGATCTCTCGTGATTTTGTTCTGACTGCTGCCCACTGCTTCCCAAGGTGACTGACTGACAGAGTAAACCCATCTGAGAATTTGTATACAAACTTATGGATTTGTTTTTGTCTCAGTTCATAGCACATTGTAATTATAGAAATGCATATTGTGTTTATATCAAGATTATAATATTCAAAACTGATATAGGTTCTGAAAGAGATTGGTAACAGTCTCCTTCTCTAGCAGCCTAGCATCACTTAACATTTTAATCCTACAGCCCTTTTAAAAAGTTTTTATTTTCGCTGAAACTTAATTGCCATTCACAAAACATTGGTATTTAAGTAGCTGTTTTGTTTATTTATGAGAAACCCATTGCTTTCTACTGAATTTTTTTTTTTTTGATTTGCAGCAGCAACTCTTTATCTCTTCAGAACTGGAAAGTGTATGTTGGATTGATGTCTCTGACTAGACCTACTCAGCCCTACATGGTTAAGAGGATTATACTCAACAAAAACTACAACAGCAATACTAATGACCAGGATGTCGCTCTGCTAAAACTTGAAACACAAGTTACTTTCAATGGTCAGTAAATTATTTATTTAAAATCCTTATCATTTTCACCCTACTTTCATACCTGTTTGAAGGGAGTATGCATATGTAGGAAGTTTGTTTTGCAGTGTGACCTGGTGGGTGACTGACTCTCGTGAAACACTGACAGTTTGCGTTCAAGAGCCTGTGTCAATAAACATTCACTCAGCAGCTGACAAACAGATCACTCAATACCTACAACCTACTGTACAGAGATGTATGTGCTCTGCAGCTGATGAAAAATAACAGCCCTGTGTAGATCTAAAATGTAAAACAAATATATGTATTTTTGTGTTATCCAGATAATATCCATCCAGCTTGCCTGCCAGCTTTTGACCAAGAATTCAAACCTGGAACCACATGTTGGACCTCAGGATTTGGCACCACTGAGTCAGGATCAGGTAAGAATATGATTTTTTTTTTTTAGCGCTCACTGTGTTAAAAGACGCGTTTACATATTCTGCTTAAGGTACACCTGCATATAAGCAATTTTAATCTTTAATCTTTTGATCTTGTTCAATTTTACAGAAACCTTGTAAATAAATGTATGTTTTAAGAGGTTGTTCTTGGGTTCATGGATAACGTATTGTTATAAAGAAGTTTCAGGTAACCCTCAAAATGCAGCTTTCCTTGAAAACAAGCACCGTAACAGTATAAACCTCATGTTAACGTGCAAAATGTTAAGTTGCAAAGGGGCCATTTAAGTTATACCAGATCAGAATTTATTTATCTGTTTATTTAAAAAAATTGTCTTTCCGTGTTTTGAACTATGTTTAATGCATTCTCGAGGAAATACAATACAATATTTCCATGAAACTAAATAATACAATAATGTATAAATGAAGGCATGTAACGCATGATATAGAACCCAAAGGATTACAATTGGCAATAAGAATGCAATCAAACCAGATAAACAACTCCAAAAAGGTTGGGGCGCGTATTCCTCAGAAGAAGTAGGTAGAATAAAGTCTCGATCCCTTAGGGAAACATGAATGATTTGCCTGAGAGTAAGTAAATGCATGTCCTGTATATACTGAGAATGATAGCAAATGAGAAAGATGGACATGAACTAAGAATGCATAACAACATGATTAATACTCGTATTGGAAAGAAAAGATAGAAAGAAATACCTGGTGTGGATTGTTTATCAATCAATTAATCCTTTTCTTAAACACAATATAAAGCATCGCATTTATTACGACAATATTATTAGACATACTTATAAAAGGAGTCTTGTTGGAAATACAAATCAGCATATGTTCCCTGCAACACAGGCGTTGTCTCCAAGGAACTGATGGAAGTGACTGTGGACCTCATAGACACAGGTGTGTGTAACGGTCCCGTAGTGTATCAAGGCGCCGTGACCAAGCACATGCTCTGTGCTGGGGATTTGGATGGAGGCAAAGACTCCTGTCAGGTGAGCAGTCAACGTCAACGGACATGTTAACATCCGCTGTGACTTAAACATAAACCAGTGTTAACTATCACAAACGGTATATCCAGGGGGACAGTGGTGGACCTCTGGTGTGTAAGGGAGACAGCCGTTGGTACCTGGCCGGGATTACAAGCTGGGGAGTTGGCTGTGGTGAAAAAAACAGACCGGGTGTTTACACCAAAGTCAAAAGTGTTCTGCCCTGGATCTACAGCAAAATGCAGGTAAGAATAGATATGACATTTTTTTTATAAGAGGGTGAGTTTGACATCCAAATGATTAAGATGCCTTACATTTATGCCACAGGTTTTCTCTTTTTAATCTTAACTCTGTCTGTGCCTCCTACAGCAAGAGAAGCCATGATGTCCCTTTGTCCCTGCTGGGGTCTAATCCCCCCACAACAATAAACCCTGCACTATGAAGTAGAGAGGTGAAGGAATTTACACATAGAAGAATGAAAAGATGAAAGAGATACTTTAGGCAGAAGGTGAAAAGTTGAATGCACGATAAACCTCACAACTTGGACAAAGGACTCTTGTCTTCTATCTTCCATATTTATACTCTGTCAAACAGGTTTTGTGAATGACCTAAACCTGATTATTGATACACAACAATTGATGCACTGACTTTAGTGTAGGCTTCTTGATTCTTCTGTCTCTTGTTATGAAGTATACTTGTGTTGACATACATGTTAAACAAGCTTTAAAGATGGCTGGCCCTTCTCTTATGTGTTCTGTGCCAATGAAACTCAGTCCACTCTACTGTGATCTACTTAATTAGTTTAACCATGAGAAAAACGATTTATGATTGATAGATGTGTTTTATACTCAGGGACACATCTGGGATGTTTCAATAGAGAAAAAAGAAGAAAGGACACTTTGTTTTGTATTTACTTTTAAAAAAGAAAGCAAGTGTGACCCTTGACTCTCTAAATGAGCTGGGACTCTAGCTGTGAAACTCTGTGTAACTTTATACCCAAAATGTGACCTTTTTAACCTGTTCTCCTGAAATTGTATGTCAAAGTGTGGGTTCTCTGTGTCGTATTAGTGTGCATTGGCCATCTTGTGTAACATAATTGTGTGTCTAATGTGTGGGATCAACGGGCAATATACTGAGCACACATACAATAAACATTAAGTAAGCATAAGCTTTCAATCACACATGAGTCTGGCATGATGCTGGGGGTCTATGACGTGGGAGAGAGAGAGAGAGAGAGGAGAGAAAGCAAGAGAAAGCAAGAGACAGGGTTCAATGCACTGAAAAAGCAGTCACTCCAGGAATCACATTGTTATCCATCACACCAATTTTTTGCCAGGACAAGTAGATGTGAGCAGTGTGCATATTGACAGATGATAGTAGCCTAAAAAGCCTCGTGAGACAAGCTGCTTGATTTTTTTAGGGTGGATATCAGTTTGTTGGCCAACAGTCGGCTGGAGAAACAGGTGGTAAGTTGATAAGCGCACATATTTGATGTCTTATATATTTTTGATGTTTTCAGAAAATGTTTAGTAAGAAGGGGATGCAAAGATGGGTTGGAAGAAAACGCAATTTGTTTTTAGGATTTTAGTGAATACAAGCGCATTTATAGTAAAATTATTTTATGCCAACGTGCAGTCTTTGTAATATTTTGGATACACGATGCTGCTCTCATTGACTTGTAGAGATGCCATTTACAACGCTGTTCGTGGTTTATCAATGATACAGAACGAGGGTGTGTCTGCTGGCAATGATCACTAGACTTCAGTGGTTGCGCGTTATTTAAACAAATTACAATTACAGAGACATTTTAAATTCTTAAAAAGAGCGTGGCCAATTCATTTTCTCTCACCGATGTCGTTGATAACCAAATTTCGGTTGTCGTGCGTGATGTCACTGCTGTTATTAAAGACGGCTACACTGAAAGGGGATATCACATTGCGCATGATGGCTTGTTTTTCTGCTTCATCAAATGATCCACAGGTTGACGGACGCACAAGTGGATGGATGCCCAGACGTCACGCATCGGGTCTTGAAATATATTGTGCCAATTGTGTATAAGGCTTCGAATTAAACCTGTCTGTGTGTTTTACCATGGCATTAACATATAGGTGCGTTCAGCCTTCATTATAATGGTGAGGTTATCAGTGCGTAATTGGGGGCGATCTTTGATGTAAGAGCGCGATTTACACAAACGAAAGCCGAATTTACCATTACTATGTAGCCGATGCATCCATTGTAAACAGATGTGGGGATATTAATCAGATAAATAGGAGGTTTTAAAGCTGCCTGCCACACCCCTTGCTCCTGTTTATGTGGGAACTCCGGTTATCTGTGTGTTTCCATTCGAGCTCGTCACCTGAACCCATATTTCTCGTTCAGCACCAGAATATGTTTAGATCGAGACAGTTACCATGGAGATAACTCGACACTAACGACGCACAATGTTGTCATGGTGATGTAACATCATTATGATGGCAGATATCGAGTATTTTTTTCACAAAGGTTAAGGAGATCTGATGTGATGTGTGCCCTCCAGTAAGGTTGAACTATAGTCAATGTATATAAATCGACACTGGGACTTTGTATTTAATTTGTTTGAACACTTTGAAGCCTCAGGGTCTTTAGTAACCAAATTGATGTCCTTTGCCCAAGCATTGAGTGAAAGGCATTTGGCACAATGACCTTACTTTTAAAACCTTGCATTTAAAAAAAAAGCCATACACACAAATATCGAATTCCACAAGTAGCCTACTTGTTCTCTCAGAGACACAGAGATTTAGAAAAGACAGCCTTTCATGTGAAGTTGTATCTCCCACGTTAATGGAAATCAGAATATAAATTTCAGCAGACCAGAAGGACCTCTGATAGGATACCATCTACTCTGTGTCATTGTGTTTTTGGTCAGGTGTGGTCTCATGAAAAACCCCACATACAATAAACCATCGGTTTAAATGTAATTTTAGACGTTGGTGTTAAAAAAGGATGTTTTACACTGAACTAAATCTTGTCTGAGATTCACACTTCTGCAAAAAAGTATGGTGTAGAATGGATAAATATGTTTTCTTTTTTATCGCCCTCTTGTATTTCCTTCCCTGTAGTCACATTTGCCTAACCACATTTCCCCCCCCGACAGTGTGTCCTCTGCAGGCCCTTCACCTGCACTCTGCTGCTTCACAATGTTGGCTTGTCTCCTTTTCTGGCTGTCGTTAAGCCTGCCCTTCCCTTGTTCCCACATTACAGAAAACAGCTCCCTGCCTGCTCTTTCCTTGTCTTTCCCAAACAGATACAGTCATTCACGCCCGCCCCTTTCTTGTACTCTCCTCCCCAGACAATGGGGAGCCTGGTTCTGCAACATGATTCTTCTAGTGCAGTCAGTCCAGGTATAGAGAGGCAACTGACAGGGTGCCATGTGTGATATGATGTTAAGAGAAAGGCTGGCATTAACTGTCTGCATGCTCAACACCTCAAAGGATTCTCACAGAAACCAACTGATACTTCTAAAAATGATTAGTTACCATTAGATAGTTTGTTAACCAGAGAACACTAACTACTTTATTTTTTGTCCATAAAATACCCCTCTTTGTGTACAATTGTCCAGTGGATACAAATAAAATGTAGAACATTTGGAAATAAGGTATCGGATTAGAACTAGAAAACATTATTATTTTCTATAACACTGGCAGCAATATGCTGCTGTATAAAGAGCAAACCTACCTTAGCTGAAATAATTTCCCACCTGCTGTTATAAGCTTAATCAGTGTTGTTGTAGTTGTGTGAGTGCAGAGATGTACTGTTTAGGATATTCCATCAGTCATCACCTCTCATGTAAAAAAATATTTCCAGGTGTGAAAGACAGCCCTGTATGAGTCAAAGAAAAACATTTAAAGACTTCAGTTTTGACTGTATAGTGACAACCGAATTGAATTCCTAACTGCAGACATTCTCTTTTTTGAATAGTTCAGTGTACACTGTACATTTTAAATGACATAGTATTTAAGTATACTGTAAATACATATAAGGAGAATAGTACTGCAAACTTAGAAACAAGAGAGCCTCTTATCAGAATGTCTGTGCAAAGGAAATAAATTAATGCACATTGACAATCATTCAAAAATATCAAAACAAGTTCCTAGTATGTTCGAGGTCAGCTACAGTATGGTTGATTTTCATCTTTAGGGTAGACAGTATCAGTCTTATTGATTCAATGGAGGCCTTTAATTCCTGTGCTGTCATCTTCTGTCACATCATTTTGATAAAGGTCCTTGGATCTGTATGAGTTCTCACAAATCAAATATACAAAGCCCAGACATACTGTACAAACAGCCACTGAGCAGGAAGGCTGCAGTCGGTATCTCTCTCCGAATGACTATAATTGAATCTGTTCATTTAAAATGTTCTACATGGCTGGATAGACATAAATTGACCCACTCAAACAAAGGGACAGTAAGTCAGGTGGAATGAACTAAATGAAACCATGTACGGCGGTGCAGAGAGCAAGTTGGTACTGTCAAAGTCATTTTTGGTATTCATCTAAGAACTATGAATATATGGAATGAATTAAGTTAGTTGTTAAGATATGTCAAGATATATCACGAAAAAATATATATATATCAGGATAACCAAAGTCTAAATGATTCAGCCTCTGGGGACCATGTATGTCTCTATAAAGTTTCATGGTAAACCATTGAAAAATGTTCCCTTGCAGTCAGCATGGTTAAACAGTCGCTGGGCGACTTTACAGTTCCTCCAAATGCACACATTCTGTTACAGAAACCGTTGGCATGTGTGAATTGGTTAACCTACATGAAAATAGGCCAAGGTTGTTTGATATCCACAGGGAGGAAAGAGTACTCTTTGCCAGGAAAAGAGAACATTTTTGCAGACTCTGAACATGGATCGTTATGCAAGATATCTCTTTACATCAGTTAAACTCCAGGGTTTGGTATAAAGCCGTGTTGTGTGATGTGATTCTTTTTTCTTCACAACATTTACTTAATTGTATGAGTGCTTGTATTGTTGTGTATATAAACTGTACTTTCATTGTTGCAGGAGGAATATACTGTGTTTTCTGGAGTAGTGTAGCTCGCCAAAACAGACCTCTCTAAACCAAATTTGTATTTGTCTTTCTTTCTTTCTTACTCACCCTCCCTCTTTATTACTATATGTCTACAGTTGCCATGGAAACTATTCTGCTCTTCCTCTCTTCACTCCTGGTGTGTGTGGCTGGTAAGTTGCACTGTACACACATGCATACAAACAACACCAATAGTCCATAGGGAGGCAGTGTTAGAGCAGGAAGTTGTGTTACACCAAAAGGCACACACTGGGTGTGGACTTATAGTAAAACATCAATTACTGCCTCTGTGTGTGTGTGAGGTCTGTTTAATAGTGTATGATTAAAAGTAAGACATATTAACACATTGTGCACAGTCACTACAGTACAAATAGATTGAATCGTGCTTTGAACTGTCTTTTGTTTCACCTAGAGCTTGTGTAAGATAAAATATATATAGAATAATAGACAGAGAGATGGATAGCGATGAAGTATTTGTTGTCTCCTTTCTAATATCCTGTGCTTGAACTCTCACCTTTTTCCTCTTATCCTCTGACTCACACCACTTCTCTTTGGCTGGCTCTCAGCTGTGGCAGACCCCAGTGCACAGGGTGAGTACTCTTCATGTAATCTCTAATAGGGTCACACTCGGTCCTGACAGCCATATAGCTGGGTCTATTGGTTGCCAGATCAAATCAGATCCTTATGGATTGCTCCACTACAGCATTGCAGTGGCAGAAGTATGGATTAAGCATGAAAACGACGAAGAAAAGTGTGGGTTTTTTTATGCAAGGGAGTTAAATCAATGCAGTAGAGATGAGAGTGGTTGTTTGAGAGACAGGTGATAATGACAAAATATATAAAATGTTAATGCAAGGTGTTTATATTACAAGTACTTTTATAAACCATGTAGGCAAACTACAATGTTAATTTTTGACGCAAATATGGAATGTTTAAAAATAGGTAAATATTACATAAAAAACTGTGGTAATAGTATGGTTAAAATCAGTCAACAAAACCCCCTAGTTTTGGAGATAATGTTGATCGACTCAAATTAAGGTCGGTGACTGGCGATGCTGCTCCAAGGATGCAATTCATTAGATGAAGAAGTG